TAATAATAATAATAATAATAATAATAATAATAATAATAATAATAATAATAATAATAATAATAATAATAATAATAATATAATAATAACAATAATTATTATTATTATTATTATTATTATTATTATAATTATAATAATAATAATATAATAATAATAACAATATATTACCTTTCTCGCGCTAGATAAGATGTCTCCCATTAATATTCGGACACTTTTTAAAGCGCAATAACTTTTTCAAAATTAGAATAAACGATCTGAATTTTTGTTACATGATAAAGGGACCAGTCTACTAGACCATAACGACAATATATTTTTTTTAATCTTTTCATTGCTTGCAATGACAAAAAGAAAATAAAAAACTTTCGATTTTATCTTTTTTATCTGAGCCTACAACGAAAATTTAAAAAATGCGTTTTGCAGATCTCGGTAAGTTATATGAATGTTGAAAGTGTCATCAAAATCGGTTAACGTATAATCAAGTTACAAGCGTTCAAATGTTTTAGAAACTCCAGATTTCTCATATTTATTCGTCGAAATCCGGACGACATTGCAATTTTTGCAATCTTTAATTGTTTACAGCTCATACCAAGGTCAACCGATTTCGATGAAATTTTCAACATTCATATAAGTTATCGAAATCTGTAGAACGCATTTTTTAAATTTTCGTTATAGGCACAGATAAAAAATTAAAAATCGAGAGTTTTTTATTTTCTTTTTGTCATTGCAAGCAATGAAAAAATATTCTCGTTAGAATCTAGTAGACTGGTCCCTCTATCATCTAAAAAAAATTCAAGTCATTTAGTCCAGTTCTAAAAAAGTTACTTTGTTTTGAAAGTTGTCCGAATATTAATGGGTGTCACTGTATACAGGGTGAGTCACAAATTAGTCTTCACGATTTTTCAGCCCCTTTCCGATGGTCTGACAAAAAAATGTTTCCTATCAAAGTTAATTAGTATTTAATCGACAAGAAATTATATTAATTTAAATTTCAAAACAAATTAATTTTCATTAAAAATACAAGGTCATCGTTGTATTTTTAAATGAAAACTAGTTAATTTTAACTTCACGGTATTGTAGGTGACTTCGAGATGAATTCAACAATCTCCTACGTGATGACCTTCGGATGACATTGAAGGAAAAATTTCCATTAATATATTAATTGAAGCTATGCATAAAACTTGATTACAAAGAGCAGAACTTTGCTTTGCAGAAGGTGGAATACAGTTCGACCATTTAATTTAATTACCAATTACATGCATATTTTTAGTATGAGTATATTTCTAACTTGGTTATTATTTCAAATATTGTGGCAATCGGTTCATAGCAATTTTCCCTTCAGTGTCATCTGAAGGTCATCACATAACAAGTCATTGAATTCGTCTCGACGTCGTCTACAATACCACGAAGTTAAAATTACCTAGTTTCATTTAAAAATATAACGCTGATCTTGTTCTTTTATCAAAAATCAATTTGTTTGTAAATATAAACAATTGCAATTTCTTGTCGGTTAAATGCTCATTAACTTTGATAGGAAACATTTTTTGTCAGAACATCGGAAGGGGCTGAAAAATCGTGGGCAATAATTTGTGACTCACTCTGTATACTGAAATTCTACAACCTGCATTAATATTGTCAGAAATATTCAGTTAAGACCAAATACTGCCAGACAAATAGTGATTGAAGAAATTAATGATGAAGATCGAAGACAATGATACATACGATCTTTTAACAATCCGCCGATATTCATGGCGATATGTATTTTTCAATTGTTTCTTCTTCAAACGTATTCATTACCATAAAAGCGAAATAATAATATTGTACAGTAGAGCATGCGAAAAGAAACACGGAAGATCAACGAATCAACAAACGTCATGAGTACGTACCCCGAAATGATTATTTTGTTTGTATAATCACGTCGAAACAGCATTCGCTGTTAGATGTTTAATAAGAAAAATATAAATGTTTAAAATCCCTAAAAAAAAGTTGATATACGCAAGGATCTGCTCAGCCAACGGCGGTCTGCGTCGTAAAATGTTTAAGATCACGTAATATCTTTACGGAATGAAAAATAAAAAGAATAATTTCAGCACAAGTTCAGCTATATAAAAATATATATAATCTTTACGTTAGGAAAAAATTAATAGCGGCAGAATATGCCTCACTTTGTAGCATTCACATCACTTCAGAAACATATTTTGCGATGAATAATAAATAATAATCGGGTAAATCGGAGCGGTAATCGGAGCTGTATAAATGCAGATAACGTTGTCCCCAGTTCCTGCAATATTTTATATTTTTTCAAGGTCATCGAGGCCTAATCATCAGTTTTTTCATTTTTCCTGTTGCTTGTACTCTACAAGTTAACCCAGTATTTATGTTTCAGTACGTAGATTTTTATCGATTGTTGGTGGTGATTTAGAAAATGGTCTAAACCAGGACTCGGAATTAATGACACGCAACATAAGGATCGTTAGGGTATAGTCAAGAAAATTAATCCTTTGCAGTCGAACGACGACTCCAAGGCGCCACTGAAAATTCCTACATCATTCTTCGGTATAATTCTTGCATTATTAAATTTATTTATATTTAATAAATCGTTTCAAGTGCAAAAAGCTGCATGAACAAATAAGCTTAATGTTATATGCACAACAGGAAAATAATTATTAAAAGTAGAAATACTATAGGTCAGAAGTACTGTCCTTGGTCTTGACGTTAAAATAACTTCGACTGCAAAGGGTTAACTACGCAAGGCGACGCATGCTCATTGAACATTGTAATTCTGAACTATTGGGTTCGAAACTAAGTAATTGCCGATTTGTTCAATGAAATACAAAATTTTTTTACTTGGAATGAAGTTTAATCTGTAATGTATTTCCCATTTTGTTCGATGACCTTTTGCCATCTCTCTGACAACTTGAAAATTCCACGCTCGTTAGTTCCACTTACACTGGTTTAAGTTCAACGTGGTTGAGACGGTCAATAGAAGGGAACAGTTCGTCAAACGAATTGGACCCTTGACAAATCTACGCGTTCTTCTTCGTTTGTGACTCGAAATGTGTCGTGATTTAATTATTTATTTATTATCCACGTTAACGTTCATTGCACCGCAATGTAATTGCAGGCGTTCCTGCTCAGGCGGTATAAAAGGTATTCTGTGGGAACGTATAAAATGTAGCGAACTGCTGATTNATAAAAGGTATTCTGTGGGAACGTATAAAATGTAGCGAACTGCTGATTCTATGTTATTCTACTCTTATTCTATTGGGTTAGCAACTAAGTAATTGCGGATTTGTTCAAAGAAATAAAAAATTCTTTTTACTTGGAATGAGGTTTAATCTGTAATGTATTTTCCATTTTGTTCGATGACCTTTTGCCATCTCTCTGACAACTTGAAAATTCCACGCTCGTAGAAAGTCTGATCCTTTTCGGCCAAAAACTGAGTTAAGTGAGATTTTACAGCGTCATCATCATTAAAAGTTTTACCACGAAGGGAGTTGTCCAGGGATCGAAATAAGTGGTAATCCGATGGCGCGAGATCAGGGCTATATGGTGGGTGTAACATCAATTCCCAACCAATATCCATCAATTTTTGCCGAGTGGACAAAGACGTGTGCGGCCTAGCATTGTCCTGCTGGAAAATGACACCTTTACGATTGACCAATTCTGGTCGCTTTTCCTTGACCGCTGCATTCAATTTGTCCAGTTGCTAACATTCGCGGATAATAAAAAATAACATAATAATAATGATAATAATAATTTTATAATATAACATTTACGGATATCATAAAAATGGGAGTGAGAGACATCTATAACTGAAATCGGCAATTACTTAGTTGCCAACGCCACGACGCAAAGTTTCTGTCTGATCGTAGTTCACAGTTGTAATGTTCGCTCGGTAAACATGCATAGTGACTTCGTGACCGCATTGGTCACGAGGCGTACCGATTTAATTTAACCGACTTATTTTGCGTGCCAATAATTCCGAGCCCTGGTCTAAACGATATGTATACAAGGTGGTATGCGCAATTCTTTCAGGCCATAACGCAATTATGAAAACAATAAAAAACGTTATGAGGAATATTTACAATCTAATGGAGAGAAGCGTTTGAGCATCTTCTTCAATAAAGACATTTTTGAAAATATCTCGAGAACTCATCATTTTTTTGCCATAATACACTAATAATTTTTTATGTGGAATGAACAGAGAAACTGATCCGTTTAATAAAAAATATGCATTTGTAATTAAAGAAATGATGCAGTTGTTAATTGCACATGCACTGATACACTTTTAAAAAATCTAAGGGACTATGGATGTGGTGCTTCTCGAACCATTTATCTTTCTCCTTTGTCACTTTTTCGTGAATTCGTTAATAACGGAGTTATAATCTGAAATGTAGTCGTTTTGCATAGGCCACACTGTATAAGTGTGTAAATGAATGTTGTACATTAAAATTATACAGATTTATTATTAGGTATAGCAAGTAGATTTTCGATTTGAAGTGTTGTTGAATTATTAAAGCGTTTGTAATTTGTTTTTGTGTACACGTTCTAGAAGTATAGAATTTGACTCACTATGAATTGCGAATTATGAGAATTCATTTTTACCTGAAATCGGGACTCCTATCGCTATTGGTATAGCCTGAGAACACTGCACGAATCCCCATGTTCTGGCGAAGTTTCTCGCCCTCACTCTTTCATATGTGTACATCTTCAGACTGTAGTGGTAACCACCGCAGAATATACCTTTAAGCATACAAATAGGAATTTTATAAGAACAGATCGCGAAGTAACAGCACAAAATAAAAAAATCGTAAAGCAAAGGTATGAATAAGAGCTATTAACAACCACCATCGACCGTTATGACTTTTTTCCAACTTTTAGGAAATTAAAAATATCCACAAGAAGCCACAGATAACAAGTAATTTATAGATTTCGATTTACATTTACATTTATACACTCGTTTGTTTTTGAAGATAGGAGAAAATGCATTGGACCAAACTTACTTGGTATCGGGGGGTTCATAATCTGGTATTACCAATTTTTCTGTAGGCGGAGGTGTCAAGGAGATATGAAGGTCAATTCGGTTTCTTTAAATGGAACAGTAAGTTTTTTTACTTACATTCTGATAGAGTGTTTCGAGGCGAATACAATGAACTATTATGAAGCTGTCTCTTATACACATCTAGATGTGTATAAGAGACAGCAATGAACTATTATGAAGGTCATTCAAGGTCACCCAAAGTGACACAGAAAAGCAAAGCTAAAATACAGTAAAATGGCAAATAATCACACAAATTTGTTTATAAATCTAATCAAAAAATAATGTCATCTATTTACTTGCGTGAAATTTTTATCGTCATAATGTAAAAGCTAAGATCAAGTCCAATGCAACGACCACAACGCTATGACCATATGACATTTAGTACGAAAAGTCCAGAAATATTTACGACATTTCTAATCCTTCGCTGAAATATATAAATCTTTGAATTATTCTTCAAATTATTTTCTATAAAACAGATAATTTAAAATTACCAATAATGTTTGAGGATACAGATAAGAGTACAATGTGATTGAATGTTTGTTTATCTTTTGTGACCCGTGTCACGTAATACACACACGTGATACACAAGTATTCGAAAAGTACTCTGAGACAATTTATTTTCTCTTGCAGTTGGCTTTGGGTGACCTTGAATGACCTTCATAATAGTTCATTGTATTCGCCTCGAAACACTCTATCAGAATGTAAGTAAAGAAAACTTACTGTTCCGTTTAAAAAAAACAGAATTGACCTTCATATCTCCTTGACGCATCCACCTACAGAAAAATTGGTAATACCAGGTTATATATATATATGAGCCCCCCGATACCAAGTAAGTTTGGTCTAATGCATTTTCTCCTCTTTAAAAACAAGCGAGTTATTCAGGTGACCTGTTTAAAATGCCCCACCCTGTATAATATCATTTTCAATCGTTTTGTGAGTACAGCCTACAGGGTGTGGCACGACTTTTCCAGCACTTTTGACAGTCCGATGAAAAAATATATTGAATGAAAGTTAATCAGTATTTAGTTGGCTGCATATTGAAAAATAATAAATTTCAAAAACTATTGTTTTTCGACTAAAAGTCAAGGTCACCTTGACTCGGGGTTATTGCTGATGAAAAAGTGAATTCAACGACCTGCTATACTATGATCTTCGGATGGCCTTGACTTCATGTAATTTCGAGTGCCAATGATTTCCATCTGTGTCGCATAATCTTAATGCAATTATACTGCGCTATCTATAGATATAGAATCACAGAATTCATCAAAAGATCAGTTGCAAAGTATTTTATAAATATAATTCTACGGCATGTTACACGGACGTGCAAATCACGCTGATAGTATTTATTTCTATAAATTAATTGTCGACTATAATTGCACGTTCCTGGCGGTTCGATCGACCGAGCAACGTTTCAGTGCACGATTCGGTTAATTGTAGGTTTGTCCGAGAGAAACATCTCTATCGAAAGAGGCGGATTTAATCACGGCCCGAGTATATTGTACCATAAATCCAGGCGAACATGACGTATCCGTGATAATTTCCTTGAACAGCGGTGAGGGCCAGGATACAGACTCCGCATACAAACACTGCCGCCTGCGTGAGGTACTGGCGTGCTATCCTGCATTCGACGCTGCGATGAACAACCAGAAGACCAAAGGCCACGCAGCCGAGGGTCCAGGCTAAGCCAAGATAAGCTTGCAGCAGGATCACCGTGTCACCCAAGCCTTCTTCTTCCACTTGATGCGCCTAGGACCCAGTGAGAAACACAAAAGAGTCTGAGAATACGAAATATCAAACGCTGCCCCCGCCAGCGTCAGTCGAATGATCAACCGTAATCTTCTTATCTCAGTAGAGTTGGAATCGTAGAGTCTTTTTTAGCAGGAAATGATTGAATAAATTTGTTGATTAACGAAAATACCGGAGAATTTAAATAGCTTCAATGCGGCGATTTCTATAAAGTAGCAGATAATTATTTATAACATGGTCCTCTTGAACGTAATGGCGCTTTTAGAACGAAATTAATGGCCGTTCGAAACAAATGGTATCGGGTGTCATTTCCTCCGACGGCCGAACGACGAACGACAAGGGCCCACGGTCGAGGCCTCGACTTTTTGGCAGTGAAACGTCGACTGCCGAACGAACGCGTCGAATAAACGATTATTCGCGAACGCGTCGTATATACAATTATCCACGAACGCGTCTCAGTCATCTTTTGTAATATCCACAAGTGTTTCGGATTATCAGTGATTAATTAAGTGATCAGTGTTTAGTGACAGTGCAGTGAAAGATCAGCTGTGCGTTGTACGAGGTCGGTGCCCTTCGACATCATGAGCGACAATTCCAGCCAGCAAATGCATCCTCAACTAAATGGGCGAGTTTCTTATCGATAATATTTTTCATATTTCTCTAAAAAAACAAATACTTTATGTCCCTTAACGCGATTATTCATTATTAAAATCAGCTTTGAAAATCATTCGTTGAATTCTGTTCGGACACGGAATTATTTAAATTAAAATATCATTTACGAACTTTGTTAATCTTCACTGTACACCTTGCATAAAAATTTCATATGGTACACATAAGGTGTCATGCACACCAGAAAATTAAAACGGCTGTCACGGTTAAACTACATATTATTTCGAGTCCGAAAAATTAGTGAATATTCTTCAGACGTTCTAAAGTAGAGGTGAACAGCGTTTTTCTTAAAAATATCACTTTTACGCAATAACAAAAATCCAGAAAGTTCACGCTTCGTGACTTGTTCAATACTTCGAACGCGGCTCGAGTCCGTTCCGACCTTCTGTCAAAGCCTCGTGCTGCGGACTCTCTCGCGGACTCTCTCTCTCTC